CTCCTGAAATCCTGGACCCTCCCCGCCAGCACCAGAGCTGGATCCGGCTCCGGATGGTGGGGGACAATAGCCGGATGCAGGGGCCGGGAAATGCCGGCGAGGGCGGGGGGGCAGTTGGTAGTGGACACAAACAGCTCAGTCAAGCTGTGGCAGTGGGAGCACCTGGACATGGTGGCACTGGCAGCACCCGGAGACAACGGGATGGGGGATATCAGTCATTATTTAGTTTAATTAATCAGAAGAAATTCCCCCCATCCCCTGCCATGTTCAGAGGAATATGAATTAACAAGACATGAACTCTCAGCTGAGGATGCCATCAGTAGGGACTAGAGTGAACAGCCCAGGGTCTCCCAGTCTCCTCAAGCTGAAGTTTGGGTGTCAGAGAGGTGCATTGAGCTCGTGTGGTCTCAGCTGTCTCCCACCCCGGGGGGGGAGCCCTCATCCCACAAAGACACCCAAGGGTGCCACCACTGGCCGGATAGTATGTTTAGTTTATTGGTTAGTAGTGCACCCCGAGCACTCTGGGGTGCCCTGGCAGCCACCCTGGGTGCCCCAGGGCCCGGCTCGCTTGGTGGCCACTCTCTGCGTTTCATCCTAAACCTATTTCCCGGGAAGGCCTGGGGGAGAGGCGACGGTGTGCGCCCCAAAACCGGGGGATTTTCACAGAAAATCCCAGTGCGGCGGAGGGGCAGCGCTCGGGCCTGGGCTTCCAGCCCACATTTAGGGGACGGTGCAGCCGGGGAGCTGGGGGCAGGAGGGAGCCCCTGCTCAGGCCACCAGAGTGCTTGTGAGCCAGTGCACACCCTGCTCCATACAGGGGTGTGTGTGCCATGACGGGCAGGCACAGTGCTCTTGCACACGTGCGTGTGCGCGGTTGCTGGGCATGCTGTGCGCGGGCTCCCTGCATGCTCATGCACGCTCCAAGCATCCTCAGCTGCATGGTTTGTGCACGCTCCTTCCACAAGTGCCACACACTGCACTGCACACACGCTCGCCACAGGCTCCATGCACACGCTGTGCCAACACCACATGCACGCTCTCTCGCACGCTCTGTGCACGCTCTTTTCACACGCACCACATACGCTTGGTGTGTGCTCCACGCATGTCCTGTGCAAATCCCCTGTGCACTCTCCCTCCACATGCTCCATGCGCACTCTGCATCAACTCTCTCTGCACACTTGTGATCTCTGCACGCTCTGTGCGTGCTTGGAGGGCACACCTGGTGCTGGCAGACTCACAAACGCCATGCGTGGTCTTACCTGCAAATTCCATGCAGACTCTGCAGGCTCTATGCACATGCAGTCTTGACTGCATGCTTCACGCGTGTTCTCGCCTCCTCTCTTTGCACGCTGTGTGCACACTCACTGCACCCCTTGGTTCGTGCCCCCGCGCCCCCTGTGTGCAGACCCTACATACCCACGCACGCTCTCCCTGCGCACAGCTTGCACGCTCTCTCTGCATAATCCGTGCACACCCTCTCGCACACTCCATCCGTGCACCGCTAGTATGTCCTCTCTGCACACGCCTGTGCTTCCTGCACGCTCCCTGCACACTCGTCCCGGCGAGAAAGCCGTGAAAGCGACGCCCCAGGAAGACGGGGGACGGAAGAGGGGAGCTCCGGGTGGGATCAATAGGAAATTAGTGACTTTACG